GCGATCACGTCACCGGTAATACGATCGCTGGATGGTAAGATCGATCCGTTGTCGCGAGATTAAACCGTTGCAGGAAACAACCAGTTCAGTTCTGTCGTGAACAGGATGTTCCGCGAACTGTATGACACGTGATCTGTTTTACAGCTTACAAGTCAAAGGTGCCAACGCGGTGATGTCGAGGACTATCGATATACGAGAAAGACCCCGTTGAAGCTCCGTTCCGAGCGAACGGCGGACGTAAATAGATTCCCAGAGATAATTCCCGTCAAATTACTTGCTGATAATGCATGCAGCAACGATATCGGTAAAAAAAAAAATGAAAGCAAGCGTAAGATTACGTACGTAGAAGATATGCGCAAAATTCGCTGAAATCACAAAAGATCATTAGATAATTGGATCGTTGTATAAGCTGGTTAAACATTTGTTCAGAACCGATAGGTTTAAACTCGAATCAAATTTATCGATCCAGCCTGGTAGGATGAATTTATCGAAGGACAATATTATTTCATACAAATCTTCTGAAATTCAGACAGTGTCGAATCGGATTGGATCTGCTTTACGTATGAGCCTCACATTTCCTCGTTAGAATAGTATCATTTTTCTTGATATCCTAAAACTGACGGGAAACATCATTAATTATGTCCCCGATTTGACGTATTAATCCGAACAATAAAATCCATAGAGAATACTATGCGAACTACTCCATAAAACAAATGAATTTCTAGCCCCGTCGACTGCTCGGTCACCATTCATTTTAATTCAAGTATGACATCGTGTCATATGGCGATCGTTGACGAGATAGAATAAAGTCAAAACAAAAAAAAAGAGCTCGATGTTTTGCACAATGCGCGAAATGATGGCGGGCTGCGGTTTGCCGGTCACTCGAGGCGCGCGCAAAAATGGTCGATACCGTATACGAATGCACACAATATACACGTTGTTACTCTACAGCACGTTACCGTAAACAATATCATTCTCTTGGAACCTTATAATATCGATTATGATCAATCGCGACAATAGATAAAATTATTGTTATTATTTCGTCGACGAAAACCGAAACGTCAATGAACAAGAGCAATAATATTTCATAAATTTGTTTTACAAGTTTTATTGATATCACATTGTTGTAATGAACTATAAAAATATTTAATGTAGTAGAAAATGCAAAACGATTTTTTATTATTTAAATCAAGTTCTAGATAATCCGGACGGGTTTTGCCCTTTTAAATCCTTGTAACTTGTGGGTTTTATTTATTTAGAAGCATTTAGGGGTAAAAAGAATTATATTTTTCCGAAAATCTAATCGACAAAGAAGATCAGATAAAAAGACATTTAATTAAAATTTTAAAAGTTTTACTACTACATTTACTAATTTTAAAAATTTTTAAATTTTTGTTGAAAAACTAGGATTAGATACCCTATTATTCAAAACAAAGATTTTGTGGGACTGATGATTAAATGTATAATCATTAAAATTAATAAATTTGGCGGTATTATAGTTAATTAGAGGAATTTGTTGTGTAAATTGATAATCCACGATAGGATGAACCTGTTTATAAATTTATATTTTGTTGCTTTAAAATTATATTATTAGATTAATAATTAAAAAATTTTTGGTATTAGATTTTAATTCAAATCAAAATGTAGTTTGGATAGGGCTTAAAATGAGTTACAGTTTAGTATATTATACGAATATTAATTTTTAATAATTAATTGAAGAAGAATTTAATTGTAAATTAATATAATTTTATTAGTTGATAAGAGATTTATAATGTGTACAAATTGCTCGTCATTCTCATGAATATATGAGTGAGAGAAGTCGTAACATAGTAAATATATTAGAAAATGTATTTAGATAAAATTTCATTATAGAAATTTGTTGGAGTAATGTTAAAAAATTTAAGAGATTAAATTTTGATTCTAAATTTAAAAATTAATTATTTTAAAGATATGATGTTTGCGAATTGTTAGTAAATAAAATTATATTTTTGGGATTGATTGTAGTAGTAAATGAGGAAATAATTTTTTTTAATTATAAAGTTAAGTAATGTAAATGAAAATATTTTAATGTAAGAAAGATAATTTTGTTTATTTTACCTTTTGTATCAGGGATTAATAAGTTATGTTTTTATTATTTATAAAAATATTCTCGAATTTGAAAGAGCTAGGAAGTATGATAGTTAATGTAAAATAATTATTATTAATAACTTTTTAGAGATTAAATTTTATTAAATCTAGAATATCTGGATAAAAATATATAAAGATATATAAAGATAAATATATAAGATATAAGAGAAAAGTAAAGATAAAAAAGCAAGACCGTTTTTTATTGACAATATTCAATTAATAAATGATTTCATCTATCTTTTTCGAATAAATCGATGTCATTATTATTGGAATGATCTATAATACAAATTATGAATTCAAGAGAGTGAAAATGTAAAAGGGAATGAAAAAATATTTTTTCTTTTTAACTCTTTGTTTATATGGATATTTCGAGTTCGGACGGTTCTATTCATAGAAACTTCTCAGCCCATTAAAAAGTCCTGGATTTATACTACATTTTCTTGCACAATGAAATACATGCTACACAAAATGAAATACAATGAATACAATGAAATACAATGTTACTATTTATTCTAGAAACTTATGGAAAAGTATATCTGTGAATTTTTACAAATTTTTTTGAACCATTTAACCATTTTAAAGACATGAAAAAAGGGCCAAACTCGAAAAATCCATGTAGGACCACATGTAGTTTTTCACATAAGCCACTAAAAGTTAAATTTTTATGCAATTTGATGTTTTGAAAATTTTAAGAACAATATTTTTATTATCCTCTCTCTATTTCTATAAGGATAGAAAGATGTAAAATTATAGAAAGTTTTTTTTTCACTTCTTTATGCATTAATATTTTTATCATTTTTATGAAGGTTGATGATAAAAATATTGTTCTTAAGAGTTAAGAGACAATTTTGAATTACGAAGATTTAAGAAACGCGCATAAGGATCACTTAAGATTTAACGGATTAATAGAAAATAAATGATCGTAATAATAAAATATATAAATATTATTTATAAAAATCTTAAAAAAAATAAAAAAATACATTTTGTATGTAAATCGAAAATCCAGAGATCTATAAAAAAAAAAGAACAAAAGACGTGCATTATTTAAGTTTGAAGAGTTATTTGTTGTCGTATCGTAATAAAATGAAAAATCGAGTTAAAGGGAATTTAAATGTTGCTGGCGCAAAACGTGTAGCAAATGTGTGCGAAGCCGTTATCGCGAAACACGTCGAATTTTCTTCAACAACGGCGCGATATAAACGCCAACGGCATGAGAAAACACGAGAGGAGAGGGACGGGGGGGGAAGCGAGAGAAAAAAGAGAGAGGAGAGGAAAGAGAGAACAGAGAAAGAGAGAGAGAGGAGAGGTGACAGAGCGGGAACGAAACGCCGGGATTGCCGGATCTGTTTTTGTAGGCAACCTGGTTCGGACAGGTTTTTAATTTATTTCCCTTGGGATCGCGCGGAGAATTATTATTCTTCGGCGCATCGAAAGGGAACGGGCCACGATCAACATCCCCGCTGACACGTTTCATCTTTTTCATATCGCCGCGAGTGCATCGTTAATGGTTCACGTATTACTTGATCGTTCAATTTTTCGAATCGAGCGATACGCGGAGTTATACTTAATGTGCTTAATCGTCGTATTCATTCTTGATTTTCACAAACAATAAATATTCCTAAGAAATCGCACTCATTTATGCGTTTAAAATTTCAAGACAGATCCTCGTCCTTTTCATCCAACGAACAGATAACTTTTCTTATTGTCATCCATACCGTTTATGTCTCATTTACATGAAACAGGGAAGTTACATAAATAATATTTAGTATGCGAAGCATATCTTTCGGGATCGATTATCGTCCTACTGCTTTACGCTAACATTATGTTAACATTATGTATAACATTACGTTAACAAATCAAATTCTCCACTATCTAGAAATAGCTGCACAGATAACCTGCATCCCCCTGCATCCCTCGGTATACAAAGCAGCGCTCGGAAACTCGAATGTGCAAACTATCATTCTTCACCGATCCATTCTCTATTTCATCCGAATAGTGTCCCGATATCCCAGGATCCCCCCCCCCTCTCTCTCTCTCTCTCTCTCTCTCTTCTTCTTCTCTCTCTCTC